ACCGAAGCTTCTGTACAATCTGGAGGTTGCCCACAGGTATAATGTACATCTACTGATTGCTTTACATATTTTTCGTGATGGTCTGCGCAGCTCACACATGAAATGTCTATGCTATTTTTACTTCAGCCGGATGACAGGTGTACTGGATTTCTGCACAATTCCTGCTTTTCATTAACTATAGCAACTGTGTACATCTCTTCACTATCTCGTTGCCCCCTGTGCATCCAAATCTAAAATATGTACTGTACACGCCTGTGTCCTTCAACCGAAATGAATTAATAAATACTGAAGCAAAGAATAAATGTACATTAAATAAACATAGTATCTTGTGGTGCCGGTGGGAGCGTGAGCAAAAGATTTAATGTTGCTTTAGGCCGTGACCTGGGTTAGAATGTAGACAGAATTGCTAACACATAACTCATTCTCTAATAATCTGCTGGTTCGGTCTTGCGTAAGAGCCTTTCTCCTAGATCAGGCTAATTCTACGTTTGCAGATTACAGTGGGCAACAGAGTCAAAAGCCTAAATAATTATTTGTTGCACGCTATATTGTTGAGAAGGCCTTTGTTTCTTCACACACACATTCCGAGATACCCATGCAAATTAGCCCATACCGATGGAATAGACTACGCCGAACACCAAATTTGTTCCATTTCAAGGTCCGATGATTGTTTTTCCGTTGCTTAATAATCCTACTTCGACGGTATGAAACTACCGAATATGGACCGATTCTGAAATGCTACAAAACACTGCGGATCACGAAGGAGCTATTGTGTTTTGTTACACAGTGCATGCTTTCAATTACACTTACGTCGCTGTTCCTTTCATTTAATTGTACATGTAGCACAGCATATATCGATGGTTACCTTCTGGATGAACGGTTCTTGGTTGCTCTTTTTTTTCTACTATAGAATTTCTATGCTGGAAACAGTTTTGCTATGGTAAACGATGGCTGCTTACGTTTAGGCAGAGTAATGCAGTAGTGGCTAACTGTGTTGTACAAGACAATTTCGGTAATCAATATGAAGATATCTATATCTACCGAAGAGAAAGTTCATCGTGAGAAGAACGCATTTTCCTATATAAACAAGCAGTTATAGTCAAACATCCGTGCCTTGGGCTTTTTTTTTTAAGCTTTGATATTTGGGAAATAACACGATCGCGCTGAACCTATAATTTGGAGCTAGCTCTTGCATAGGTACAGCCTGATGGTAAACTGGTTTGTTAACGCAAATCTAATTGTAGGGACTTTCATAGCAGGAAATGTTGCATCAGCCGCTGGCCACCCTAGAATCAGCGGCGCCACACATTCTATTGTGTACCACCAAATCATGTTGGTTCCTGTTAGGTGCTCGGCGTTAGTGGGCTGAGACAAGGTGTCTGGAGGGCTGCCTGAAGTTAAATCGCCGAAAGTTATGGTGGGCAGTACATAGAGCGTTTGCAGAAGCGTTCAAGCTTAATTTATCGCAAGCAGATACAGTATGCGCCTATCGTCGACCAGTTTCAACTAGCTAACGACGCAACGAATTTCTCTGAGTAGAACGATTTGCTGATTGCATCTAATCCCCGCGGTAATGAACATAAGAATACCTATTATTATTATTATTATTATTTATGCTATGGCCATGGACGACTGGTGTTTACAAAGCACTTCCCGCTAGCCTAGCCCACTGTCCCTGAACATTGTATTACATTAATCATAAATGCGCTACAAAAAACGATAGCGTGCCTTATTCTGGCGTATATTACGTTTGCCGCATTGAAAACATAGTTATTCGACAGGTTTAAGAAATTCGCCAATTGTAAGAGCCACAAACAAACTGCTGTACTTCGAAATACATATATATCTAAAACATAAAAAAAAAAAACAGAAAATGATAACCACCTTATTCGAGAACTGATCTTCAGGCGTTTGTGAAAGAAGTCAACGCTGAATCGAAGAATGCTCGTGACAAAGCGCATAAAACGTGTGGGGAATGGAGGATTTTTACGAAAAGAGTTCGCTTTTTCAGTAAGCTTAAATAATAGACTTCTACGATCCGGATCCACCGACTCATCTCTCAATTAAGAAAAATCATTTATCGTACTGTGATGACGCCGTTGATGGCATCTTCTTCGAGGTTCCCGAGGCCTCCGCATCGTTGCAGTGTAGCGTTCTGTCAACAGTACTTACTCATCCCGACGTGGACAATGATTCGTCTTCTAATCAATGTATATCAATAACATTAATGGTCTATGTCATGTTACAGAACTAGGTACTCCATTCTAAATGCTTAATGTCAACTTTTTAGCTTTAGTTACTTTTTAGCTAGCTAGGTCATATGCCGATACCGATAGAGTGAAGCTTTCATGTTGTCACTAATTTTCGATCTACTGCAACAGAAAGCTGTGAAGTGGGGTATGAGACGGTTTTTCAAAGAAGCACAAAGCCAAAAAGGCATTGCATCTACTTTGTTCCGTCTCCACAACGCTGATGTCTTTTGAAGTCTTTCTTGTGATATTGCAGTGCTGTCCCGCGTAGTATTTAGAGGAAAATCGTTAGCAAGTCGTTCGAAATAATGGAAATCGGCCTTTTCTTGGCCTTCGCTGGCCTAAATTAATTTCAATAAGTAACCTTGCCTAAAACCATGTATTCAAGACATTGTCAAGCACTGGGCAGTAACCGATCTTTGAATCCTTGCCTATGGAGCTAACTAGTTGAGGTTATTTAGTCCTATGCAGCATAGATGTTGACAGTGATACAATACAGAACTTAATGATCTCAAAACGTAGAGTTGTTTTTATTCAACAGAGTTTTTGAAGAGACAGCTTTAATAGTGTGGAAATATCAATGACGAGGCTAAAAAAATGCGACAAATCTCAAACGCAATGTTATTTGAATCCAGAGTTTTAACGAGTATGCTATAGGCATAGGTAGAGGGCATATTACGGAAATACATTTTATACACTTTTGTATTTCATAATAACTAAAGCAGTATTTCAAACAAATGAATGTAACAACGTGCGTTCTTGTTGGAGATGCTGTTGTTACTGCAGGGCACGCCCTCTGGGCGACTACTACCTGCCCTTCCGCCTGCGTTTCCGTTGTAGTAACCGTCTTATATCCCTTTGTCTTCTGTCACCAGATCCTCGAATAGAAAGGGTAAACCCCGCTTATTGCCGTACACAGTCGCACCGTCGCCACAATGTTCTTTGCAACCGTAACTCCTTTTATCTCCTGCTTTTGTAACCAAGCAACGAAAGGCGATTCGTAGACCTACCTTAAAGTCACATTCTAAATGGAATTTCTTTCATTTTCATAGCTTGCCTCGTGCGCCATTATGCTACAATGTATTTAAAGGTCCCACAACTTCATTGGAGATCCAAGATAGTATAGAATTAGATATATAACCTAAACATCCAGTCTTAAAGGGTATTTTACAGAATGTAAGGTTTGATTAAAATATTTTTATGGGTTAAGACACAGAGTAAATAACTTATTATTTGTGGGCTATTTCCTTCCTTTTCCGTAAGATACTCTATATCAATCTGTATACGCAAAAAAAAAGAAACGAAAAATACTACACGTAAGGTCACCTTGCTTACCACTAAACTGCGATTAGTCTCCCTTAGCGTTGAACACTAGCAGCTTTGTCTGTCTAACCCCCTAGGGAGTGTCTACCTTGCCTATATCTGTGTACATTACGCTTTTGTTCGCAAATGAACTGAGTTACATTACAAATGTAGCTATTACTGCTAACGCTGTTCTAATAGCAGTTGTTTCACAGTGTCGATGCTTTCCGTGCCCCAGTTGTCATTTGTTGTAGAAAAGCCCACCGCACTAAGCATACTGTAGGAGTCCAGCAGTTGCGACGGAAAGCCTGTCGCAGAATGGGAGGTTGCCTGAGGGCCCCTGGGCATAGCAGAAAGGTCTGCGCAAGGCTAGCAAGAAAGGCGAGGGAGTGGAACCCAGAGAAGATAAGGCAAGTAGATCCGGGCGGCGTGTTGTGTCGCCCGTGAAGCACGTAATGGCGGAGTGTTGCCGTCACGCGGAACTACCGTGAGGACATTACTACACACCGAGGACGAGTAGGAAAGCAAGCGGATATAGAGAAGTGGGACGGCCAAGCGGAAGAATCGACCAACAGGCAACAAACACGGCTGTCGGTAGCGGCGCAATGCCACGGGGTCAAGCTGTAGGAGGGAAACTATTCCTAGCCGACCGCGTCCCCTAGTTGTCTGTTGTCGTTGGTCGTTCGCGTAGTTGTCTGAAAGGCCCGGGAGGAAGCTGTTTGGGTCAAACAGTGTATTTGGCCGATTTACCAGCGAAAGCCGGAGTAGAGGGTACCCGAGAGAAATGGCGAGAGAAAACAACGTTTAGGAGGCGGTGGGTGGTTCGAAGTGACGGTGGAACAGATGCCTCTTTCTGCCTGTTTCAAGTGGGGGTGGCGTGTTTCGCTTTCGGGACATACCCGAAAGCCCGGTTGCCGCAGCCACCTTCCAGCGTACCAAAATGGGGAAGAAGAACATACAGGTGCTAATCGGCATAACAGTCGTAGTAATATTTACGCGGCAACGGTTTAAGGTAACTGACCACGGCCGATAGAGCTAACATGACCAAATATGGCCGAAGCGCCCTACAAGGTACCTCTCATAAATAGAACGCTCATTGGCGTTATATCGCAAACGCATCATCGAAAAATCAGGAGCGTATGTCATAGTGTGTAAAAATAATACGCATGATTATGCTTCTACTATTTAAATGACGGCTTCTTAAATAGTTTAAAATTGAAGATGATGTAGCACTAAGGCGGCCGTGTGTCATTTGTGCAGACTAAACCAATACCCATAAATCACTAAAAATAGAATAAAAACAAAGGCTGATTACTCAAACGAACACGACTAAAACAAATTAAGCAGTTTCGACGGATGTCAATGGATATATACTTTGTGTAGTTCGAGTTGTCCATCCAAAACAACGAAAAGGGGGAGCGCTGGTCGACTATGCTGGAGAAAGCTAAGCATAAGACTAATTTTACTGTAAGAAAGTGTGGGGTTACTAGTATTCCTTTTACTAAAGCTGTTTATGAGGTATAATAAGGAAGTTATTTTTTGCCGAGGTGGGTGCACAAGAACTTCAAGTTTTTGTTTTTCTTATTGTCTGCCTTCTAAATCCCTAATAGTGAGCTGTTCTAAAATGCTGAACCTATTTTGCTTTTGGTCTAGCCGGTTCAGCCAGATATCACAAAGTTTTCTTTTTTATGAGGTGCATTTACGGGTATACAGAATGACCAAAATAGCATTTTTGACGCGTGCATAATTTTACATTTCCCCTTTGTCGAGGAACCCTAAAACTTACGTGAGATATTTGTGCTTCGTATGCGGCAAGGACTGTGTGGCGAAGCATATTCTACATTCCAAAAAACATTTTGCCTTTGGCTTTTCGGTGAACTAGAAAAATCAAAAGGCGAGAAAAAAGCTTTGCTTGAGACGCCATTTTAAAACTACATGTATGTAGTGGTGGCAGCTATAGTCTTCATTTTATACATACACTGGTCCCAAGTTACCAGGATTTATGACTTGAGTGAATAACCGAAAAATGCTGCCGAAAATGCTGTTTTTGGGTATTCGATATACCAATCTCTTTGGGGTTCGAAATAAGGATGAAATCCTGTGATCTACCAAAAACTAAAATAACGGCCTTAAAGAAAGCGTTTTTCAAAATCGTAAAAGAGAAGCGGATAATGTTTATGTAAAAACTTAATGGACGACGAAAAGCACTTTAATACGTAACGAAGCATCGGAACTCCAGCAAAACGCCTGTAACGCAAGACTTGGCAGGATTCTCGTATAATAAGGAGTTGAAGCACTATTCTCAGTTGATGGTAGAACGACTGCCTTCATATGAAAGCAGTCTTGTGACATACCTGAGTGCGGATACATGATACCTTTACATAAATCTTGTGACAAGAATTAAGAGGCTCATTGTTCCGAAGAATATATTGTTCGCTAGTTTAAGCGGACTTCTCCACTCACCGAGAGGAAACGAAGAGCGCGACGCTAGTTTAAAAACGTATAGGAATAGGCTTTGCATGAGATGAATGCGGAACAACAAGGGGACTTTCATTCCATAAGCATTTTTCGACATTCTGGCATTTCATATTAATCATACGTTTCAACTCGCTACCTACACAATTTCAGCTGTCTTCGGTTGTGCTCGCATTCTACGTCAGTAGAGATTCTCTTACTGTTTTCTGGCTGAACGTCTGTGGAGGGAAGTCAGTCGCTCGCAGCGCGATTCTCTAACAGCAATTCCGGCCAACAAGTGTCCAAGCTTTCTGTCCGCATATACTACTAAGTCGTGCCGCTGTCTATGTCCTCTTTCTTTTTCATCCTGTCATCGTCCGTGTCGTTTAGTTGGGCGTATGTGGACAAGTATTCCATGTGGCTCCGTGGACAATGCCTTGGGCATTCACAGAGACGAAATCAGCAGACCGTTTCTCTCGCCGCACAGGCAGCATCAGCAGTAGACGCCGTATCCTGGCCGGTTCAACCAGTTTGACCCTTCATGCCATCTTCTGCTAGGTGGTACCGGTCGACAGCAGCGGGTGCAGCAGCAGTGTCTGCAATGCGGCTGAATGTCTAAGCTTACGCCTCACCTACGGCTGCCCAGAGGCACGCGGCTATTAAATAACGCAACAGCCGCAGGGCCCGCGACTACAGCGGGAACAACAGCAGAGGGACATCGGTGATAGTCAACGAACGAACGACGAGCAAGCGAAGCGACGAATGGACTAAAGGACGTAAAGGGCTCTTGCAGGTGGACCGTTGCTAGATCTACCGGGGGATGACCGAGAGGTTTCTGTCAGGCAGGGATAACCGCTAGCAGCTGCTAGCCGCTAGCGGCAACCACGGCCGCAAGGCAGGACCCTGGCCTGTGACCATAGAGGATGGCTAGGACGACGTCCCTGAACGACAGACGAATGAGGGTCGAGAACAGCAGCGAAACAGCAGGTGGTCTCGATCCCAATAGCATTCTTTGTTATTAAGCAGAAAGGGCAGCCATCAATAGCAGAGCTCTCTTGTGTATGTAGGTACATACGTTGGGCCAATTTTGGGTCAAAGTTTGACCGGTTGAGCAGGCACACAGGTCCCGGCTACGGCCGGGGCTAGATGAGACATGATATCACCTCGTTCGCTCTTTGCCCGTTCACAGAACATTACCCATTTCAAGCTTGGCTCGACCCCCCGTTCCATAGAAATACAGAAGCGACAAAAGCAACGCCTGTCGGATAGAAAAAAACCGCCGACGTGAGCACAATTCCCGACGACAGAACCTTAGTCCAAAGCATCTGACCGTGACCTACGGCGATGCGCATTGCGTAAGAATGCGTGATGCTGCTAACAAGCAGTGCTACGAAGTCGGCCAGTACCTAAACAACACCATCTCCCAGTTGGAGCTTGCCTGTGAAAACGCAAGCCATTTTGGAATGACTTTGCCCTCAGATTATGTTTACTACTCACCAGCTAACAATCAGCTAAATTAGCGTGAAATAATTAATCGTCCAAATAGCGGCTAATTGAGGCTAAGGAATCCACATGGTAAATCAACTTAAAGGAAATTTAGTATTGTATGAGTTAGATTGAAGATTCGTAGGTGTACGAAATAATATGATTGCATATAACAGAGATAGCCGTCGAATTGATGTAGAATTAAAATGTAGAAAAAAAACTCATGCTAGGATACTTTAAGGAGCACAGGTGAACTCCACACAAATGTTCCGTCAGTTCAAATTGGCCTAAGTTGGTGTGCTCCATGATCTTTGTGCGGAAACCACTTCCTCTTCCATTTCCGCCACGAAATGACCACCCCGCTTCGAGCGATTTCATAAAATAGAGGATACTTTATATAGTGACGTACTTGCCTTTGCCGGGATTTAATCAGTGTTGTCGTTTGGACGAGCTAGTTACACATTATCACCATAGTGCGAGTGTCGGTCGATGATCATCTTGGACACTTAGGTATTGTCTGTATAAGCATGCTTGCGAATTTACTCAAGGAAACGGCAACACCTCTTTACAGTTTTATTCCACAGTATTGCCTTATCACGCCAAACGTTTAAATGTTGTTCGAAAAGTATTCGCACGATACGTACTTTTTAAATTTATCCAGTTAAAAGCAGGCCCATTAAACTCCTTGAATTGAATAACTAGTCTATTTCAGCGTGAACACTAATTCACGCCTAGCGTACGGAAGTTAGACATATCTGTTTTGTGACTGAGCTCGGAAATAACTTATTAACATTGCCACAAATATTATCTCTTACTAGATTAGCGATTTAGAAGCTGAGAAATGATGTATTGGTAGAAAATTTTGTTTGGGGGTATGGGATATATTAAACATAGGACAAATCTGCTAAAGTGTAAGCTAAAACCGTAAAAGCCGTCACTTTTCCTGCTATCAAGATGCGCTCAATTGTGTATATATGTACACTAAATTGTTACGTGCGTCATTCTTATCAAACCATTCCCGAAACTCGTACTGAATTAGAGGCTAGTTTAACTCGTACTGGTGTAAAAGTCGCTGTGAATTGTCAGCTAAAGCGGTCGGTGGCAGTCTTAGAGAACTACCGCGTTATGTGAAATCAAATCTACGAACTATGCTATAATGGAGCCGACAAGGGAAAGACCTTATCTGGAGGACCCTTACAGGTTTCGAGGGGATGGAGAAGGGTTTGACGAAGTCAAATGATAACGAGCTGGAACGAAGTTCTCTTTCCCAAAAAACCTCTCCTCTTATGAATGTTGTCCATTTTGTGTCTTTCAAATGACAAGACACACGCCCCGTATCCTGTCCTACCAACGCCGATCGCACTCTTGCCGTGAGTATAGAGAAACAAGTCAGCATTGTGTGATTCATGCAATCCGTGCATATGGAAGGCCTTATATTCGTATGTCTGCGTTCTTCTAGTCTGGAAAAGAGTTGAATTTTTGTCGACGAACTTGCGAGTGGTTCAGCTCATGTCTGCTCTCTGTTCAACTCGATTTTAAACGGTCGTCGAGGTGAATTTGCCGTAGTACGAGACCACAAAAACGAAAAAGCTGTACGTTGATAGTAGCGTTGTTGATGGGGACTAGTATCGGTCTCTCGCAATACAGAAGAGCTGGCCTGAGCCAATTGGTGAACCTACTTGCTCCAGTCTCCCTTTTGATCAAAGGCGAATATAAGGAAAAGTGCCTGAAGTGTTTAGGGGACTCTTGAGGATTCCCGTCGCGGTGCGGCGTGGGCCCGAATGAAAACGGCATCGGCAAAAGTGTGGAAATAAGGGTTTCAGTTGACCGGTAAAGACAGACTTTTATCAGTTAAGGCTAAGAGAAGTGCGAAGTTGCGGCAAGACTCGATTTGGGGCGAGTCGACGTTCGAAGCCTGAGGCTTTTGAGACTGGACAGGACGGCCGATCGTTCGAATACCAGTGCTTGGACGGACGAAGTAGTAGACTCAGAGGTAGTGTTTGCTTTGAAGACGGCGAGTAGTACCGGCAGTCGTCGCGTCGGGAGTAAACCAACGACTCGTCGTTTCACGAGAACCTCTAGACGGAATGGCAAGGCGCTAGAGGGAGGTTGGGGGAGAGGAAGACAGCGCAGGCAAATGATCAACAAACATAGGATAAGATCTTCTGCTTCTAGCGCTAATGTCCGTCTGGTCGCCAAACGGAGTTAGTCGCGCTTCTGAGAGCAAAGTAGCATGTATACATTCGATCCCAGACATAGCGAGTGTGCAAATAAGCAGCACGGTACGCAGGCGGATGGATACTTGCGTAAAAACACTTGCTTGGTTTTCTGCGAAGAGGTGGGCTTGTCTGTCGTAACTAAAAAACGATTTTAGATCAAGGCATACTCGAGGTGAAAAGCGATGCTGTGTTTAGTAAAGAGGATGGATGCAGCCTATGCTGAAACCAAACCACCTCGAAGAAGGAGAGTGAATCGACGCCAATACGTAAATCTGAATGAGGAAAAAAGGAGTCTGTTTGAAATAGCGG